AACATCAGAATACAAGAGATGGAAGAATTTCAGACAACGAAGATACAATAAAGGAAACAGATTCATCGGTCAAAGAAAATGTTAAATCTAACAAATGCTTAACACAAAATATCCAGGAAATATGGGAAATAATGAAAAGACCAAACCTAAGATAATAGAGAGAGAAGAAGAAGAAATCCAACACAAAGGCATAGAAAATATATTCAACAAAATTACAGAAGAAAACTTCCCCAACCTAAAGAAGGATATGCCTATGAAGGTACACGAAGCTTACAGAACACCAAACAGACTATACCAAGAAAAAAGTCCTGTCGTCACATAATAATCAAAACACTGAACATACAGAATAAAGAAAGAATATTATGAGCTACAAAGAAAAAAGGCCAAGTACCATATAAAGGTAGACCTATTAGAATTATACCTACTTCTCAATGGAAACAACGAAAGCCAGAGGTCCTAGTCAAGAGTTATGCAGTCACTAAGAGACCATGGATGCAAACACAGACTACTATATACCCAGCAAAACTTTCAATTACCAGAGATGGAGAAAATAAGATATTCCATGACAGAACCAGATTTAAATAATACTTAGCCACAAATCCAGCCCTACAGAAAGTACTGGAAGGAAAACTCCAACCCAAGGAAGTCAGCTACACCCACAAAAACACAGACAATAGGTGATCTCACAGCACCAAACACCAAAGAAGGGAAAAATACACACAATAACATCACCAACAACAAAAACTAAAATGACAGGAACTAGTAATCACTGGTCACTAATATCTGTTAATATAATGGACTCAACTCACCCATAAAAACACACAGGCTGTTGGGTGGTGGTGGCACACACCTTTAATTCCAGCACTCAGGAGGCAGAAGCAGGCAGATCTTGTGAGTTCAAGGCCAGCCTGATCTACAAGAGCTAGTTCCAGGACAGGCTCCAAAGCTACAGAGAAACCCGGTCTCGAACCCCCTCCCCCAAGAAAAGACATAGGCTAACAGATTGGATACAAAAACAGAATCCATCCTTCTGCTGCATACAAGAAACACACCTCAACCACAAAGACAAACATCACCTCAGAGTAAAGGGCTGGGAAAAAATTTTCCCAATCAAATGCACCTAAGGAACAAGCTGGGGTAGCTATCCTAATATCTAACAAAATAGACGTCAAACTAAGATCAATAAAAAGAGACAAAGAAGGACATTTCATATCCATCACAGGAACAATCCATGAAGTGGAAATATCAATACTGAATGTCTATGACTCAATACAAGGGCACCCTCATATGTAAAAGGGGCACTACTAAAGCACACATTGAGCCCCACACACTAAATAATAGTGTAATAGTGGGAGACTTCAACACCCCACTCTCACCACTGGACAGGTCTGCCAGACAGAACCTTAACAAAGAAATAAGAGAACAGATGTTATGACTCAAATGAACTTAACAGACATCTATAGAACATTCCATCCAAACATAAAGAGCATACCTTCTTTTCAGCACCACATGGAACCTTCTTAAAAACTGACCACATACTCGGTAACAAAAATCTTATAATATTTCCATGTTGGTATCTGGCCTCACCAAAAAAGCAGAAGCAAGTGTTGAATGAACTATTATTTCCTCTTATTTAAGTCATCCACCCTATTCTTGCTGCTAAAAGCTAATGAGAAGATCAGTAAATCTGAACTCTTTCAGTCTTGAGTCTCTACAGTCTGTCTGCTCTCAGGCTGATGAAGCAGTGGTTGTACTGCAAGCCCACAGAGCTACAGAGGCTGCCCAGGAGACATCAACAGCACCACTGTTTATGGTAATAGGTGTTCTAGCTGTTTAAAATTGAGAAGAAACCAGGAAAAGACACTTGGGCTTCACTGAAGCTGGAGAGATTACTCAGTGGTTAGAGCACTGGCTGCTCTTCCAGAGGACCCAGGTTCAAATTCCAGCACCCACATGGCAGCTCAGAACCATCTGTAACTGCATTTCCAGGGAAACTGAAGACCTCTTCTGGGCCCCACAGGCACCAGGCATGAGTATGGTACACAGACATACATGCAGGGAAAATAGCCACACTTACATCTACTTTTTTATAAAATTAAAAAATATATACCCAGACACAGAAAAATTTAAATGCTATGAAAAAAAACACTCAAAAATGTAAAATAGGAGGAAACGTTGAGCCTTTTATGCCCAGGAAACATCAGTTTTACAAAACAATCTGAGTACTAGCTTATTTGATTTAAAACAAACCAAACCAAAACCAGACCAAAACAACAATAAAACCAGAAAAATTTAAAAGCAAATTAATGTTTATTTACTTTGAGTAAAATAATTTGCATGAAGCACAAAAAATTAAAACACTGTTTTTAATTTTGTAATTCTTTACTGTGGAATAACAGGTGTGTTTGAAGTAAACTGATAACTTATCAAGAAATTATAATTTGGGTTATAAAACTCTTGTTTTAAAAAAAATTGGGAGGTTTTTTTGGTTGGTTTTTTTGAAACAGGGTTTCTTGTGTAGCCCTGGTTGTCCTGGAACTCACTATGTAGAGCAGGCTGGCCTCCAACTCAGAGATCTGCCTGCCTCTGCCTCGTGAGTGCTAATATTAAAGGTGTGTGCCACCATTAATTTTACAATAAGTGTGTGTGTGTGTGTGTGTGTGTGTGTGTGTATAACTACAACTTGTGGGAGTTGGTTCTCTCTTTCCACTATGTGGGTCCCAAGAATCAGGCTCAGGTTGTAGGGCTTAGTAGCTGTATTAATAGGATTCTCTAGGACAGAACTAATAGAATGAACCTATATAAAATGAATCTATGTTGGTACTGGAGAAATGGCTCAGTGGTTAAGAACACTGACTGCTCTTCCAGAGGTCCTGAGTTCAATTCCCAGCAACCACATGGTGGCTCACAGCCATCTATGAGACCCGGCGCCCTCTTCTGGCCTGCATGCACACATGGAAGGAATGCTGTACACATAATAAATAAATAAATCTTTAAAAAAAATGAATCTATGTTAAAAGGCATTTATTTGAGTGGCTTTTGTGCTGTGGTCCAACTAATCCAACAATGGTTGTCTCCTGACAGAAAAGCCAAGTTTCTGGAGGTCGTTTAGTCTGCGAGGCTGGATGTCTCAGGTGGGCTTCAGTCTAAGTAGGTTTTATACCATTGAATTAATGTCTTGACTGCAGGGTAGATCTTACTAGCAAGAGAAAGGGCAAACAAGCTAAAAGCAAAGCGTTCTTTTACGTGGGCTGTCACCAGGTTTGGCTTAGATTTAGGTGGGTCATCCCACTTCCAAAGATCCAATCTCTAGATTTCTGACCCCCTGAAGCCGGAGTTACAAGCAGTTGTAAGCTGACAGACTTGGGTAATGAGAACCCAACCCTTGTCCTCCAAAACAGCAGCAGCCACTCGGCCATCTCTCAGGACACTGGGCTGTTCTGAGCAGCATGGACCGCAGGTGCATGCTACCGTGTCCAGTTTATACTCTTTCTTTAGCCAGAAGCCTGGCTGGCATTAGATCCTCCAGAACCTGTTCACCTTGCTGGTGATAGACTCAAGCTTGAGAACATACAAGGTCAAAGACCAGCTCACTCTGCCATTCAGCTTCTCCCATCAGCAGGCAGCTGTGGAAGTCACCCTGCTCTTATCCTGAACAGGAAATGTTCTCTTTCCATCACTTCAGAAAGTTCAGTGCTAACCTACTGTGCTGAGTCTCTTCACACGTTCCTGGGAGAAAAGAAGCTGGTTTTTTTTTTTTGTTTTGTTTTGTTTTGTTTTTTTTTTTATCGTGAATCCACTCAGTACCTAGCCCTGAACAAAACACTTCATATGTGAACTTATTAAATCTTCGTTCGTTTTGGATAAGCAAATAGGCTGCGAGCACCGAAGGTTGTTTTTCTCCAGCTTACACACAGTAACTGTAAATGACCAAACTCAGGTCTGACTAAAATCTGTCTTCTTCCGACCGTCACCGCATCCTTTGATGTTTGTTCTAACAGAAGCTGGTTGGCATCCTTAATCCTGGGGTTATATCCTTCACCTCTCATCCCAGATCCAAACACATCTTTTATCTTCCAAGATAAGGGTTGGTTTGTCTTCCGACACGTCTTTCTCTTCTGAAGCAATCCTGAACTTAGTTCTCTGCCCACTAACAATAGTTCACTGCCCATTCATGCCACCGCACCTTCTCGAAACACACCGCCTTTGATGCGGTCTGAAGTACGCAGTCGATTTGCAGACCAGAAAGCACTTTCAGACACGCTGCTCTATCTGTCCTCCTCCACAAGCCAATGAGGAGGGCATTTTGCAAGGGGGAGGGGAGGATCATCCCATTTCACGAGAAAGACGCCTCTCCAAGGTCACGGAATGAAAAATGGGAAATTCAGGACCAAAGGCCCAGATTGGACCCTTGGTCCTTGGCTCATCCCGACACGCCTCACAGGTACTCAAGGTCCAGTCACCGCCTCCGCGGCAGCGATGTCAGCGCTGCAGTCCGCCCGCCCACAGCTCACCACCCTCCCACCGGTACCAGAGCTCACTCCGTCCTGTCGACCCCTCTCCCCGTGACCTCCCCGCCTCGCTGCCACCTCTACTAAGGAGCCCCCTCTAGTCACAAGTGGCCTTCTCAGATCGCCACCTCCTCCTGTCAGTCCGCTGGGTTACCTTCTCCAAGGATGCAGGTCTCTGCACAGCCAGGGAACGGGCCAGCGAAAGCACTGTGTTGAAATAAAAGCCTCGGGAGGTGCTGGAGCCAGAGCTGGACCCCAAGCCGCCTCCGCCGCCTCCCTGGGCCCCAGCAGCCGCCATCACAGCGCGCGCCCCGGCGCGGGCGGTTAGGTTCGCAACTCTGGGCCTGCGGCCACCGGGCCTCACAGCGCAGGCGCAGAGGCACGCCGGCTTCCCGGCCACGTGACCGCTGTGCCGCCCGCACTGGGTGGCGCCAGGCGTGAGGCGGCCCCGGCGCAGAAGACCTGGTCCCTTCGGCCGCTCAGTGCGGTGGTTGGCTCCGGAGGCGGGGCTGCCGGCCAGTCCTGGCGGAAGTGGCGCGCGCGGCTGCCACAGAGTCAGCCCGCCGGCGCTGGGCTGTCGACCTCACGCCTGGTCGTCTCTACTGCCTCCTAGGTCCAGGCCGTCGCGGACACCATGTCCGGTTACCCCAAAAGCTATAATCCTTTCGACGACGACGTGGAAGATGAGGACACCCGGCCGTCACCGTGGAAGGACGCCCGCGACCCGCCCGACGGGCCCGACGCGCCCATGGACCGTCAGCAGTACCTGCGACAGGAGGTGCTGCGCAGGGCCGAGGCTACGGCCGCCAGCACCAGCAGGTCCTTGTCCCTCATGTATGAATCGGAGAAGGTCGGAGTCGCCTCTTCCGAGGTGAGCCTGGGACAGAACTGAGCTGAACTGGCCAGTTCCTTGCATTATAAAACGCGATAAGGGAATGTTTTGTTGTCGATCTTTTGGGATTTTTCTAAGAGGGTGTTAACCTCGGGCAGCTCCCTTACCTATTATTCTGCATGGTTGATTCCACCTCCCTCCCCCTCTCCTGTCCACCTGTCTAGTAAAAGGTAAACTCCAAATTATGTTCTGCCTGAGGGTCAGAACTGAGAGTAAAAATGCCAACGTGCAGACCTGTATTAGGGAAATAGTGTCTGTTTTGTTTGTGTACAACTTGTTGGGCAGAAGCCTTAGGCTGTAGCTCTCTAGTGACCCAGTTAAGATGTGGACTGTGTGTGCCCCAGGTGCTAGGTGATGCCTGAAGCGCTAGAGCAAAGGAAGCCTTGCGTTCTTCTCACATCCTTGACCACTTTTCACCTCACTCATGGGAATATCCCGGACTCCTGCTCAGGAAAGCAGATCTTGAGTTGTGTCTAGACCCTTACCTTTATAGATAATGTGTTGATGTGACAGTCTGTTATTCCAGTCAGCTCTTCCCATCCGTTTAGAAAATTTCAGAAATTAGGAATTTTGCCTTGTCTTTCCTTATGTGTCTGTGTCTCCTGAAGCCAGAAGAGGGCACCTGGAGATCCCTTGGAGTTTGGAGTTACAGTTGTGATCTGCCAAATATGGGTGCTGGGAACTGAGCTGGTCTTCCAAAATCTACTTTTTTGGAGGGAAGGGGAGTTTTGGTTTGGTGAACAGTCTGTCTGTGAAGCCCCAGACTAGCCTGGAACACAGAATCCTCTGGGGTTACAGGCATGCACTGTTGTGGAATAAGGATTATTTTAAGATACCAGGTTGTCTCCTCAGTCTGCTAATAGAACAGTTGTTTGGGCAGAAAAAAATAAGAAATTACTGATATATCAGCTAAGAATGAACTTAAGTATTTTGCAGTTTTGAAAGGTAATAGTTGAAACCAAGTATTGTCTTCCTTCTCCCTGGCCACAAGGACTTGGGCAGATCTGAGGTGTCTTGATTACTTTCACATACAGTCATCTCTGGCATTGCATTGCTGCTGTTTTACCTTCTCCTATCTTCCCTGTTATGGTATCCCTGGTTGCCAGTGTATCATCTGCCTCTAGGAAGCCGTGCGTATGGTTCTTATATCTGTGTACCGAATGCTTAATGTTCTAGTCCAGATCAGCCGGGTGCCTCGGTGAACAAGTCACTTTGTGTTGAGGTTAGGTGTCCTAGTGTAGCCCAGGCTGACCTTGAACTCAAGAACCTCCTGTCTCAGCCTCCAGAGTGCTGAGATCATAGACTTGCATCAGATGCCAGATGCCCACAATGAACACATAGATCCTCTGGAAGAGCAAGACGCACCATGACCTGCTGAGCCATCTCCAGCACCAAAAGAGGACCTTTCTCAATAGTATGCATCATTCTGTCGACCTGGCTATCCTGGAACCTGTGTAGACTGACTCAGTCAGAGATGTATCTGACTGTTCCTGGGGGCGCTGAGGTTCAAGGTGTGCCAGCACACCTAGCATTTTTATTCTTTTTAACTTAAAAGTGAGATATTCTTTACATATTGCCCTGTATATTATTTAGTAGTACTGAAGGCTATTTCATAGTTAAATACAATGAGGATTTGTGGGGGGTGGGAGAAGGCAGACTAATGACCATACTGTATTCCACTAAATAGATGACTTCTGTGTGCAACCATTCTCCTAATAGAGAACAGTATAGTACCTGCTTCCTACATGGACATCGTGTTTTGTATACCTTTAAAGGTGTGCACCACCCACCACCCGGCGACAGCATCCCTCTTAAGCCGGAGCAGTAGCAAGAAAAAAATCTTGAGATTTTCCCCAGTTAGGGTCAATCCATTACCAAAGGTGTACTCTTGTTTTCTAGAAAACTAGTGGGGAGCAGTCATTCCCAGTGAGGGCGTCCCGGCTCCTCCAGAGTCTTTCATGGGCACGCTGATGAAGCCTGTTTCTCAGCAAAGACTGATAAGGACAGAAAGACAGCTGCTAGATCAATTCCTCTCCAGTCCTCAGGGATTTTTTTTTAATGTACCCTAATAACCAATATGTGTTTCTGAATCTACTCCATGCCGAGGAAATCTCCAGCACATACAGAACCCAGCAAGTTCCATGTTTGCTCAGCTGTACCCACTAGAACCTGTTAGTGTGGGTGTTTATTACCTTGGGAGATGAGAGAAATAATGAAGAAAAGTTTCTTTCTTATTTTCCTTTCTGAAATAGAGTTTTATATTGCCCAGGCTAGCCTCAAACTTGCTGATCCTCTTGAGTTCACTTCCAGAGTGCTGGGAGTGCATGCCTGTGCCATCGCACCCAGTTTTTCCCCAGTCTCGGGGGATAAATTCCAGGTTTCTGGATTCACTGCCTTGACCCCAGATTGACATTCATATACTTATCAGTTAATAGCTAAGTTTAATTTCAAACTCATTGTCAGGCCCACCTGATAATGCTTTAAATGTAGATTGTGGTGTGAACAAGTTGTTACTGCTGCCCTTGGGAGGCCTCAGTATCATTTGCTGTGTGTTTCCTACTGGGTTTTGATGGGTCGGTCCCATCCACACCCTTCTGTGCTCACCACACAGTTCCACTTCCCCTCAGTTACTCCAGCTGCCTAGACTAGCGGCCCTCTTCGACTCAGCATTTACCCCACCCCACCCTTGAGACTCTCTGATACACTCCTTAAACCAGGCCAGGAATCTTTACTGGGGTTTGGTTCACTGTGACAAAGAAACAACCATGTGTGTAATGACCTTTGTATTGTTTTTCCCATGAAACAGCTCAGTGAAGCAAGGATGTGCCTGCTCCTCAGTTCTCAGCACCACAGGGTGGCTAGAGAGTTGGGCTGAACTTGCCCTTACCCTGCGTGGGTTATGTGAGCTTCAGGGTGGAGTTCGGATTGTTTTTGTTGTTGTTGTTGGTTTTTTTTTTTTTTTTTGACAGGGTTTCTCTGTGGCTTTGGAGCCTGTCCTAGAACTAGCTCTGTAGACCAGGCTGGTCTCGAACTCACAGAGATCCGCCTGCTTTTGCCTCTGCTGGGATTAAAGGCGTGCGCCACCATCGCCCGGCTAGTTCGGATTGTTAAGTCCCCACATGATCAGTAGCACTGGAAGCGCCCTTGGCAGACATGAGTTCTCATGAGAAAGTCCCCCAGACTGTTCCATGCTCAGCCAGCAAAAGCCTCTGATCCCCTGAGCCCTCACAGTGCCCTGGAACATAGCCCGAGTGTGTCTCACATCAGGCGGTCTATGCTCTAGCACAGGCTTTCTCTCCTTGACCTCTGCTTCCTCTTGCTCTCAGGAGTCACTCACAGAAAAGAGGAAAGGAGGAACCTTGTCTGTACTTTCTTGGCATTGCAAGAATATCCCCTCTTTTTTTTTTTTTTCTGTTTGAGTTTAGAAAACTCTTGAGGCTTAAAGAAGTTGGGGGATCAACTGTAATCATCTCATAGTTACATGGAAGGCATTTCCTTGTCCTTTGTTTTTAGACAGGGTCTTATGGAGCTCGACTGGCCTCCCCCTCTATGGTCCTGAGGATGGCTCTGGACTCCTGATTCTCTGCTGTCTCTTCCCCAGAGCTGGGATTACAGGCATGTCCCACCAGCCCAGTTTACAGAGTGCTGGGGATTGAGATCCCAACATCCTGTGTGCTGGGCAAGCACCCTTACCTGATGAGCCACATTCCTTGTCTAGGAGTCCCCCCCCTTACTCCCCCAGCCACCCTGGGCCAGTACTGGCCTCATTCTCACAGAGGCAGATGGAAAAGTCAGCACAGTTCACTTCTGAGCTATGGGAGCACACCTCCAAATCCACAGCATTCGAGGTCTGTCTTCAGGATGGCTGGAGTATAGAGTCTTAGCCAGCCCACCCTCACAGGAAATGCTGAGGAAGTACTACCAGCCCCCCCCCCCCACCTCATGCCCTGCCACACCCCTTCCTCCCTAGTTGGTCCTAGGTCAGAGCACATTAGATCCAGTCATTTCTTATTCCTTTTAGGGAGGAGTCTGACCAAAGAAACTCTTTGCTTTGCTGGTCTCATGCTCTCCAGTGAACAACAGGTTCTAGTACATAGACACTTCCAGAAATCAAAGCAACCCTCCCTCCTCTGGCCTTCTGCCTCTCAGAGGAAAAGCCATCTTTACTTAATTCTCTATGTTCTCATTGTAATGCCTATGTCAGGTGTTTGGTTTCCTCTGCAGCTGAGAAGCTGTGTCGCTTGTGAAATGAGATCTCCCTGCAGTCCTGGGAAAAGTTGTCAGGCTCTTTTGCTTCCCCACAGCTTTCTTAGTGGAAAAGAGAAGTAGCTTTGAGAAAATCCTGTCATGATAGGAAGAACTGACTGCTAGAATCCCCAAAGGCCTCTGGCCTACCAGAGCTTCGCCCATTTCAGCCCTCAGTGTCAACTGTTGTCCTGTCCAGTCAGCCAGAACTGTGGCTGTAGCTCAGGGTTGAGCACTGTATGTTACAGTCATCCAGAACTGTGGCTGTAGCTCGGGGTTGAGCACTGTATGTATGTTACAGTCAGCCAGAACTGTGGCTGTAGCTCAGGGTTGAGCACTGTATATAAGGCACTGAGTTTGACCTGCAGTATGCAAAATAGTACTAATAATAAAGAAAGAAGAGAAAAGGAGGAGGAAGGAAGGTAGAAAAAATATACATGGGTGCAACAGAAATCATGTAGCCTTGGTGTTCCACAACAGTCTGTGAGGATGATAAGCTTGGAGACTCTGAAGATAAGTTATTGGGTCCTTTTTGTCTCTGAAAACTAGCTCTTGCAAGTTTGTTTGATACAGTGCAAAAATATTTTTCTTTTCACTTAAAAATTCCTAAGCTGGGCCGGGCGGTGGTGGCACATGCCTTTAATCCCAGCACGGGAGGCAGAGGCAGGCGGATCTCTGTGAGTTCGAGACCAGCCTGGTCTACAGAGCTAGTTCCAGGACAGGCTCCAAAGCCA